TTTTTTTAGTAACTTGACCTAGGACAGTTGCTTAATGTGTATTGTTAGAAATTTAGAATTTTGACTTGGCTTTTGTTTTTTTCTGAAATAATAAAATTTACTTTAAAAATATAGGCAATATTAAGTTTTTTCTTGAGATTTAAGTAATGTACTCACATTCTTATAGTAAAGGCTGATTTTTTTCCCCTGTAGTGTTTTATGGAGTAATATCTTATACAGATGCAGAACATTCCCTTCACTATGCAAATAAATCAGTCTCTTTTTTTTATTTTTTTAAACACACAGATTGGAGCAGGTAGGTGGAACAGTGGATAGAGCACAGGCCCTGAAGTCAGGAGGACCTGAGTTCAAATGTGAGCTCAGACCAAACACTTGACACTTAGTAGCTGTGTGACCCTGGGCAATTGGTTTAACCCTAATTACCCAAAAAGGAAAACAAAAAACCAAAAAAAAGAAAAAAAACCACAGATCACCTATGAATACATATGTACTTCACTTGATGGAATAGATTCATTACTACAAGTTTACTATAAAGTGAATTTCAGTAAAAAATCAAATCATGTTATCTCATGAACTTTATAAATAAAATTACAGTGATTTTCTGTGTAACAGGGGAAGGGTATAAGTGACCCCAGATAGAAAAGTCACACTTTATAGGACAGTACACATTTTACAATTTCACATTTAAAGGAGAAAATGATAGTTTTCTCATAAATCTGATAATATATGATTTCATGAATTTGGGAACTCGCATAGTATACAGAGAGTATGGGCCTCAGATTCAGGAAGACCTGAGTTCAAATCCTGCCTTTGAAACTTATTACCCATGTGACTCTAGGCAAGTAAGTCACTTAGCCTCTGCTTGCTTCAGTTTTCTTGTATGTAAAATGGGGGTAATATAATAGCACCTACCTCCCAGGGTTGGGGTGAGAATCAAATGAGACAGTATTCGTAAATTACATAGCACAGTGGCACATTGTAGATGCTTCATAAATCCCACTCTCCCTCCTTCCTTCCTTGTTCTTCCCCCACTTCACCCCATGGAGATCCCCCAGTTGTATCTAAGTTAGAGAGTTGCCTGAGGCCCTAAGATGTGATATGATTTTCTGTTGGTCACAGCTAGTATCAGAAGTGGGACGTGAACCCAGGTCTTCCAGACTCCAAATTCAATCCTCTATCCCAGTGGTTCTCAAAGTGTGATCTGAGACCTTTTCAGGGGCTCTACAAGGTCAAAACTATTTTCATAATAATGCAAAGATGTTTTCTAATACGGTAAAGGTTGAGAGATATAACCCATAGAAATGAAAGCTCTTTGCGGGGGCTAAGTAATTTTTAAGAGTGTAGAGGGGTCCTGAGAGCCACTGATCTATACCATTGTGCGATGCCGCCTCTTAAATCTTACAGTATTAATAATTCTGTCATATAAGCATCTGTGATTTCGTCTGGATGGGAACTCTCCACTCATGTACATTTCAGTACCTTTGTGTCTTCACAAATGCTGCAGCTGAAAAAAAAAATAAAAAAGATTTCACATAGGTGTCCACACTTTGGTCGTGAGCTAATTCTTAGGGTTATCTTAATCAGTTCGTGGCAGCTAGGTGGCACAGTGGATAGAGTGCCAAGCCTGGAGTGAGGAAGACCTGAATTCAAATCTGGCCTCAGATACTTACTAGCTGTGTGACCCTGGGCAAGTCACTTAACCCTGTTTGCCTCAGTTTCTTCATCTGTAACATGAGCTAGAGAAGGAAATAGCAAATCGCTCTGGTGTCTTTGCCAAAGAAAACCCCAAATGGGGTTGTGAAGAGTTGAACGTGACTGAAACAACTACAACAATCAGGTCTTAATATTGAGCTGATTACAAAATACATTTACTGAGGGGCAGCTAGGTGACACAGTAGATAGAGCACTGGCCCTGGAGTCAGGAGGACCTGAGTTCAAATGTGGCCTCAGACACATAACACTTACCAGCTGTGTGATTTCTGGGCAAGTCACTTAACCCCAATTGCCTCACCAAAATAAGCAAATAAATAAATAAAATTATTTTTAAAATGGCTTGGAATATGGCTCTTTATGTTTGTTTTATTACCAAATCAATGCCTAAACATAAAATTTTAAAAATTGTTGAGTTATTACTAATAATCAATTCTTAGGAGTCAATCACTAAGCATTTACTAAGTGCCTGCTATGTGCCGGGCATTGTGCTAAGTGCTGAATAGGAATTGTGTTTACAGTTTCTTTTTTCCTTCTCTATTATCTGTTCTCCCCTCCCCCCTCGCTCTCCTTGGCCCCCCCCCCCGCCCTATCTGTTTCAATGGTTCCGGTCTGTGAATTTAGGCAAAACCAGGTGAATTTGACAGTTTTACAATTCATCTTTTATAGATTGACTTTCTTCTTCTGCCTTGTATTTCCTCAGTCTGCTAACTCGAAGGAGGACATTGACCTATCCTAATTCTCAGCATCAGTCATTTTAGACTGTGGGAAAAGCACCAATTTCTTTTTGTTCTCAAATTCTTCCTTTCTTTGCCATCTAGATGCTAGTGGACTAATTATCACCATCAGCCACAGCAGCAGAAGCAGCATTTATTTAGTGCCTTAAGGTTTGTAAAACGCTTTACAAATATCATATCCTTACAATAACCTTGGGAGGTAATGGTTAGTTATTATTCCCATTTAAAGATGGGGAAACTGAGGCAAAGAGAGGTTAAGTGACTTGCTCTGGGTGACACAGCTAGTAAGTATCTGAGACGAAATTTGAACTTGGGTCTTCCAGACTTTAAATCCAGTGCTCAATCCATTTCGCCATCTAGTTGTGTGGGATTTATTCAGTCTGGTTTCCTTCCCAGTTAAGTTGCCTAGGGAATAACATATCCGTTTAGAAAGAGCCTTGGTTTGGGAGTGAGAAGATGCTAGCCTCAGTTATTGCACCCAAGGCCCAGTACAGCATTATAACCACTGTTGGAACTTAATACATTTTGATTGACTGGATAGGAAGCAACTGTTTTGCCCACCATTTGACCATCTTTCCCTTACTGCTCCACTGAGATTCTAAAAACACGAGATAAAACAGGTTTAATATCTGAGAAGTCTAGAAACATGTCAGTGATGAATTGTTCTTTAAGCTCTGTCTGAGAAAAGCTCAGCTGTTACAGTAGTAGAGGGTTTAACTTCCTTTGTGTAGGTGCATTCAGATGTCTTGGAGACTATAGACATGCCAGTTTTCACGCCTGTGTTCAGTTTGAACATCTTAAAAGGATTTTCTCCTTTTGAGATGAGTCTGGATCTGTGATTTCCTCGGTGTGGGAAACACTAGGTGTGGAAATGCCATCTACCAGGGCAGATCAGCCTTACTCATTTGTTAGTTTATTGTGTTAGAGGAGCTGACAGATTACATGACTTCTCCTTGGTCACAGAGCTAACATATTTAACATTAATGTTTCACATTGGCACAACAGTGCTGGATTTGGATTCAGAAAGACCTGAATTTGAATCTTAGCTTCTGACACTGGATAAGTGTAGAACCCTGGGGGAAATCAGGTGACCTTTCTCAGCCTCAGTATCCTTATCTGTAAAATGGGGATGATAATAACATCCAACTCCCAGAGTTATTGTGAGAATGGAATGGATGATATATGTAAAATGCTTTGCCAACCTGCAGTGCTGTGTAAATGTAACATGCTATCATTATGTGTCAGAATGAGACCTTTGTCTCCAATGACCCTCCTCCTGCTTTACTCATATTTTCTTACAAGATTCTATTTTAGAAATGTTAGGTCTCCCTTTTCCTGTGGGTGAAGTATAATAGTTCTTTGTCTCTTGTATTGGGGCTGATCCATTGTGGCAAAAATGAGCTTACACTTATATAATACTTGGAAATTTATAAAGCCTCCATACACATAAATAGAACCAAAATTTAGAAAAAGACCAGGGAGGGTTGTGAAGCAACCTTCTAGACACCTGACTTGGCAGCTGGAGTGGGGTGATCGCTGGAATTAGAACTCAGGAAGACCTGAGTTTGAATGCTGCTTCAAAAAGGACTAGCTGTGTGCTCCTGTGCAAGTCACTTAGTTTATCTTAAGCTCAGTTCCTGCATCTGTAAAATGGGGATAATATTAGACCTACTTCACAGGATTGGTTTGAGGATAAAATAATAATATACATGAAGTTATTTGCAAACTTTTTTTTGGTTATTATTCCATTTAATTTTCTCAACAACCACATGAGATAGAGAGGGTAGGCATCATCCAAATTTTAAAGTGAGGAAATAAGGACCCTTTCATTGAATCAAAGTCATTCTTCAGTCCTGTCCAACTCTTTGTAACACCACTTGGAGTTTTCTTGGCAAAAGATATTAGAGTGGTTTACCATTCCTTCTCCAGCTCATTTTATAGATGAGGAAACTGAGGCAAACAGGGTTAAGTGACTCCAGAGTAGATAGATACACTGTGCCACCTAGCTGCTCAGCCCTCCTAATAGCTAAATGGCAAACGTAATTTAAAATCCTGAATTCTCATCTTTGCTTAGCTGCCTGTCTCTATGTGCTTCTCTGTCTCTTTTTGCCTGTCTTTTTCTGTCTTTGTCTCTCTGTTTCTGTCTTTCCCTGTCTCTGTCTGTTTGTCTGTGTCTCTATTTCCTATTCCTGCTCTAGAGGGTTCTCTGCTCTGGAATTGAATAGTGATTCTTTGGGAAATTGCCAAATAGTAAGCAAATGTGATGGAGGTAGTAATTTCCCTTTGTAGAGTAAGTTAGTAGCCCTTCTCATGAGGTCGTACATTCATGGATACCTTTGTTGGCCCACATTGCCATTTTACATCTTGAATTAGGCATGAATCTCAATACCGCCTGAGCTTTCTCTGGGGGTAAGCCCATTGCTTTCTTTTTGTTGAAATAAAACAAGTGCCAAATGTAAATATGTAAATATTATTAATTTCCCAGACCGAGTAATTTAATGTTCCTTCTGTCTTTGTCTTTTTCTGTCTCCCATGTTTTTGCTCTTCATCCAGGCTCTCAATCCATCGTAAAGCTCTTGGCGAGAGGGTGCCAAGGTAAAAGATGAGGTAATGCAGGAGCAGCCCTAAAGCATCTTTTGTTGGAATTGTGAAATGGTTACTCCAGTCATTTCTTTATGAATCTAATGTGAGGGGCCGCTTTGTGGAATGAGCCTTTTGTAACAGCGAACCCACAGGAAAGAGAAAGAGACATTCACTTGGAGGACTCTTGCAGCAAATGGGTTTAAATTTCATTTTGCCAGTCGCTACCAGGCTGACCTCATACATTTTGGGTACAATGGAGTGGCTAAGCCTTTGAGTATACAACCATTACATCATCGTTGCCAATTTTAAAAAAGGAGGTAATAAAAGAGGACTTATTGTTGACATGGCTGATGAGATGACTGGGACTCAAATTCTTACTGAGAGGTTGGTGGCTCTGCTTGAAAGTGGAACAGAGAAAGTACTCCTAATTGATAGCCGGCCCTTTGTGGAATACAATACATCCCACATTTTGGAAGCCATTAATATCAACTGCTCCAAGCTTATGAAGCGAAGGCTGCAACAGGACAAAGTGTTCATTACAGAGCTGATCCAGCACTCTGCAAAACATAAGGTAACTTCTCTCATTCTTTCTTGTAAATGGATACATTGAATGAGGAATAATTTGAACTAAAACATTTCTCCATCCAGCTGCAGGAAGCAGATTTGTGAAAGCTGAAAATCCTTTTTAACTTTGGTACATCAAGTATTTATCATTTGTAACATGCTATTGTTAGAGTCAAGAATATTTCTCAATTAACACAAGTTTGTATTTGTTCCCCACCAATATGCCCTTTCAGGAACTTTTATTCATTTAATTTAAACATCATTCACTATATTTTACAAATGAACCCAGAGGTTCATAGGCAAATAAACTTGGATCTGGAAGAGGCCCATAGGAGTCATCTAATCCACCCCCATTCCGCAATTTACAAAATAAGGAAACTGAGACCCAGAAAACTTACAAATGCTAAGTGGCAGGGCTTGGATTCAGACCCAGAGGGCTTTTTTCTCTCCTATGTTGCCTCCCATTTTTCAAAGTACTGTGGGGAAGAAAGTGAAATAGTATACATTTTAGAAGGACAAATAATACTGATTTTATAGAGAGAAACGTAAAACTGCCCCATTCAAGTCTTATGGTTAAAAGTTCATTCTTTTTTTCCTCATAAACATTTTTCGTTAAATCAAGTTTAAAAGTTTTCTTGAAATATTTTACAAAATAATTTCCTGCCAAAAACTGGTTTCTTATATTGTAGGAGATATATATATTTTTAAAATATGGTTTAGTAGTTCAGGGTCCTTGGTGTGTCAGTTTTCTGTATGTTTTATTTCCTGACTTTGGTTTCTCTCTGTGTAGTTTTACAAGGAGATTTATAATTGTCCAGGTGAGATGAATTCAGATGGAAATGGCATCGTTATTTTTCCCTCCAAATCGTTCTTTATATATGGAATGAATATTTGTGAAATTCTCTACCTGGTTATTTAGCCCCATCACCTTTTTATTCTAACTACAAACAGAAAACGTGGGACATCAAATACCATGAAAGAGATTAAAGTGAATACGGACTACAGATGCAAACAGTAATAATAATAATGATGATGATGATGATGATAATAACTAACACAGGGGTGGGGAACCTGCAGCCTCGAGGCCACACGTGGTCTTCTAGGTTCCCCATCCTGGGCTGACATTTACATAGTGCCTGCTATGTGCCATGCACTGTGCTAAGCGCTTTACAATTATTTCATTTCATCTTCATAACTATGGGAGGTAGGTGCTGTTAGTATACCCCTTTTACAGATGAGGAAACTGAAGCAAAGAGAGGGTAAGTGACTTGCCCAAGGTTACACACTACTGAGTGTCTGAGGCCAGATTTGAACTCAGGTCTTCCTAACTCCAGAGCGCTATCCCTTGCACCACCTATTTGCCTATACAGCTGCATTAGGATACTAATTGCCAGTAAATGAGGTGATCTCTCACTTTGTTCTTCCAAATATCCCACTTATTTGCATTTCAGGTTGACATTGATTGCAATCCAAAGGTGGTAGTATATGATCAGAGCTCTCAAGATGTCGCCTCTCTAGCTTCTGACTCTTTTCTGACTGTGCTCCTGGGTAAACTGGAGAAGAGCTTCACCTCTGTGCACTTACTTGCAGGTAAGAATTGAGTAGATGCCAGAAGACACCAAGTCTTCCATGAGGGAAGTACACACCTACAGTAGTTCTTCCGCAAGCTGTGGAAAAGCTAATTTTAGTCATAGATGTTCTGTTAAAATAAAAAAAAAGTTATTTAATTGTAATGACTAAGTTTGGACCTGGAAAAAAATTGAGAGAATGTACCTTTCTCCCTTTTTTGCAGAGGTCGGGACTATATATGGGTATGATCGTGTCAGGCACAGTTGATATAATAATTGTTGATTGTGAACTGCTTTTTAAAAACCTTTTGTTACAAGAGATGGTTTAGTGGGTAGGATATATATGTGATATATCCAGAAATCAATGTGATAAAAACAGAAGATATAAATAAAAAGAAGCTATTTTCAAAGTGATTTACTTATGGCTTTGAGGTACACTTTAAACCAATATGATTGCTTTATGTATACTGAATATTGTCATTCTCCCAAATGGGTTGTTTTTTTACTCATCAGCTGTGTATTGGAACACATAATTACTGCATTGATCAAATTGAAGGTGCAATATTAACTGCTCCGTGCAATGTTCCTGTACTCATGAATTTACTACTTCTACCATATGTCCTGGGACTGCCCCCCAGCTGCTCCATATTATAATAATATGGTTTTCCACTGATGGTTTTCCACCCATGAGTCTGTACAGGACCAAAAACAGACTAAGAATCAGAAAATATTTTATATGTTTGTAGTTGAGAATAGATCCAAGGTCACCTTAACACTAGTTGTAGAAGGGAATGTATCCTGAAAGAGTGTGTGTCTGTATATCTGTGTGTGTTGTATGTCTGTGTATCTGTTTCCCCTATATAATGTTGGGGACTGATTTTCACTTTATTATATGGGTGTGGGGGGGTGTGTTTCCCCTATATAATTTTAGGAACTGATTTTCTCACTTTATTTTATAGGCTGATTCTTATTAAGCTTGGCCATTTACTATGGTGTGACCTAGGATAAGTCACTTAAGTTCTCTGAGACCCAGTTTTCTTATCTATAATGGACTGGACTGGGTTTAGGCTAGATAAACTTTCAGGTCCTTTCCCACTCTCAATCTATGAGCCTATGAACCACTAGATACTCTCCATATTTCATAGAAGGAACTTCTTTGGGAAGGAGGACTTATTTAAGACTCTTCTTTCACCTACCTTCAAAACAGATTTCTACCCTTTTATGTAGGAGAGCTATCACCTTCACAGACATCATAACCACAGCTCTTTTACTGATACTCATGTAGAAAATTGTAAGATGCCCAGAGACCAATAACTCAGAGTTCTGATGAGAGGCTTGATCAGTTGAGCTCATTCCTTGTTGCATGTGTGATCACACAGTTGCTTCACCTGGAATTTTGATTCTTTGGAGACTGAGGCTCCTAGGTGACATAGAGGTGGATAGAGGGCTGGAGGTAGAGCCCAGAAGACCTGAGTTTGAATCCTGTGTCAGCAACTTACTAGCCATGTGAATGTGGGCAGTCACATAACCTCTCTCTGTCTCAGTTTATTCATGTGGAAAATAGTACCTACCTCATGGACTTATTGTGAGGATCAAATGAGGTGATATAGATAGATAGATATGTGTGTGTGTGTGTGTGTGTGTGTGTGTGTGTGTGTGTGTATCACTTATATACCACTATTATATATCACTTTGCAAACCTCAAAGTGGCATATAAATGTTAGCCATGGTAGTTTTTGAAGTATTTCGCAACCATTTAGAACCAGGACACCAAACAGAAGAACGCTGGTGTTTCAAAGATGTTTTTCTTGTTCCTGGAAGCAGCTTGGGATGGTTGTAAAGAAGAACTGCACAATTTCCCCAGGTGCAAGCTACATATTCTCTTATTATTCAAATTAATTAACTTGTAAAGTGCTTTCCAAACCTTAGCTTGCTATACTAATGCTAACTATTCTGAGGCCAGCATATTGCCTGGCCATCTGTAGAGTTCGTCCAAGTTGGTTGATCTGTTCAGATTTATATCTGAATATTTATATAAATATAAATACGGATAAATTTATATAGTCTAGACAATCTCCAAAATCAATACTGTGGACTCCAGTGGGTGTGTGTTGGACCCTGAAGGCATTTATAATCCAATTCCTAACTAGGCTGTCACAGCAGCAGCTATTCTGGGCCATTGGGAAAATCTTCCCTGCCCAGAACCTGCTCATTCCCTGTCCTCCAGATTACCTTGTGACTGCAACAGAGATTAGGCGATATCCTGTGGAGCACTGACTAATGAGTAAGAGTCTTACTGTTTGTCCTTGTGGTTTAGTCAAGTTTGTTTGTTTTTCAGTTGTGTCCGACTCTCTATGACCCCACTTGGGGTTTTCTCGGTAAAGATACTGAAGTGGTTTACCATTTCCTTCTCCAGCTCATTTTATAGATGAGGAAGCTGAGGCAAACAGGGCTAAGTGACTTGCCCAGGGTCTCACAGCTAATAAGTGTCTGAGGCTGGGTTTGAACTCAGGAAGATGATTCTTCCTGACTCTAAACCCAGTGCTCTGTGCACTATGGCGCCCCCTAGCAGTCCATTTTTAGAATATACATGTTTCCTATTTTGGATCTTGCTTGATGTTACCAAAGGCAATGGAGAAACCTGTGGTTGGTGTAAACAGGCTTTAGTGTGTTTTTAGTGACAACTTGCAGACAAAAAATGACATAAAAAAATACCATCCAAGAGATGTATGATTGGAAATGACAGTGGGTCAGTTGTGGAGAGATAAAGTAGGATTAACAGATGAAGAGTAGCCTGAGATCTGCCCTGGTACGATAAGAAAGATAAAGGGTAAAAGAAAGGCTGGATTGGGTAGATCCTCCGTGGAGGATGTGTGGGAGGACATAGGTAAGAGTAGCTTGAAATAGAAAGAGGGATGGATTGTGATCAGTATATTTTTGTTGTGGGGGGGAGGTTACTCACATTGGTGCATTTGTTTAGGGCTTAATTAAGGCTTGCAAAATGGTTTTCATTTGTTAATCCTTGACAACGCTGTGAGGTCTTGCGATTATTATCCCTGTTTTACAGATGAGGAAACTGAGGCTGAAAGAGACTGTTACATACATCCAGGGTTACATAGCTAGTAAGTATTTGAGGGAGGATTTGAACTCGATCTTTCTGATTCCAAGTCCAGCATTATATCCACTGTACCACCTAACTGCCTCATCCATGAAAGTGTTGTTGTATGTATTTGATTTAATACAATTGTTGGGAGGATCTTAGTTTTAAACTTTTAATTTTACTTCTTTAGAGGCATCTGTGGCAAATTGGATAAAGAGCTAGCCTTGGAGGCAGAAAGACCTGGGTTCATGTTGCATATCTGACACAATATTGACTGTGTGACCCTGGGCACATCTCGTCACCTGTGCTTACTCTAGGCCACTTTCTTTCTTTCTTTCTTTTTTTTAAATTAATTTATTTTGAATTATCAACAATCACTTCCATAAGCTTTTGAGTTTTAAATTTTTTTCCACCTCCCTCCCCAAGATGGCACACAATCTGATATATACATTCCTATTAAACATATTTTCATGTTAGTGATGTTGTAAGTAAGAATTAGAACCAATAGGAGGAACCACCAGAAAGAGGAAACAAAACACAACAGAAGAAAAAAAAATAGCAAATAATATGCTTCGATCTGCATTCAGACTCCATAATTCACAGAAAAGGCACTAACTTGGTTTAGTGGTGGCAGTTTCCTTACATGGGACCACCCTGTATTAATGAAATCACAGGTTTAATCCCGTTCACTATCCTGTTAGAAAGTGAGAATTTAAAGCCAGTGCTGTTATTTGATTCCTAAATACTCAAGTCTTCAGTTTTCAAAGGAAGAGGCTTAATCATAAACATTTGTGTAAAAACTGTTAAATTGCTAGCAAGTAGGCTTGAATAACTTTGCTGTTCTCAAGTTCTCTGAAAAACAATTTTTAAAAATTTTATCATATTCAGCAAGAGTCCTCTGTCCCTTCCTTTGTATTGGCACAGAGAGAAAAGTTTTGTTTCATATTGTTTTCTCCTTGGGACTTCACTCATGCCTGTTGCTTGTGCTATGATCTCATCTTGTTTCTGTATCAGTTTCTATATCAGCTGAGAAATGATTACAGTATCCAGATCCTTTCTCCACTGATGGTGAGGCATTAGACCACTCAGTGCAGAGGGCCACTGTATTGCCAGAAGAACTTTCTAACATAATAAGGGATTAGTCATTGAAGATTGAGGGGCCCTTTTTGGTAGATGTGGTTAAAACTAGCTAACATTCAACATTATGCTGCATATGGTAGTTTTCTGTTTCACATGTGCAACCTTCTGTGGCATCTCCTGGTACCCAATTTGTAGAAATCATTCCTTGAAGTGAGCAGACTCAGACATTATCCTAAATGTACTCTGGTTTTTGTCTGAAATCTTTTTACATGTATCTGTGACTAATTTAACAGCTTATTAAGCTACCTCTTCATAGAGAAAACACTTTAAGAAGTTCCCTGAGCCCTGAACACACTGAGGCGATTTGAACACAAATTTATTTACAATATCTCCATCTCAGCATCTGTAAATGACTAGCATCCCTCTCCTCTTTGAGAGCAGTTGCAGCATCCATTAACAGACTGAAACTTGGAGTATCTTTAGCTGGCCATGCCTCTGACCAGTCAAGGACAACCGCTTTTTTCCTTCAAAGGCAGCTAGGTGCCATAGTGGATAGAGCACTGGGTGTAGAATCAGGAAGATTCATCTTCATGAGTGCAAATCCCATTTCAGACACTTAACTAGCTGTGTGACTGTGGGCAAGTCACTTAACCCTGTTTGCCTCGGTTTCCTCATTTGTAAAATGAGCTGGAGAAGGAGATGGCAAACCACTCCAGTATCTTTGCCAAGAAAACCTCAAATGGGGTCGTGGGGAGTCAGACACAAAAAGTGACTAAACACACATCTTTCCATCAAACAGAGAAGTGGGATAGATGGGAAGGCATGCTGTGAAAGGTCTGTGT